CTTCTTACTGTTGTCTTTCTGCCACACCCCTGATCTTCTGGTAGGAAAGATCTACACCTAGCCTTCTTGGACAAGGGTGAAAAATCTCGGAGGGCCCGTGTGCAAGTTGCGCACGTTTCGATAAGAGTAGGCTTCGGCCGCCACCCGGGCAAAATTCAAAATTTCCTACCAACTGAAAATATTAGGTGTGTCCCGCGCGCTCATATGACCTTACGCAGTTGCGAGTGCCGTAAAACACTTTACAAAAACAAACAAACATATAAGAGATTGATGGTACATTTATGGTCATTTAATTTTTGTAAGAGTTTTATGACACTTGCAACACAATGAGGGTATATACGTGCCGAAGGAGCAAAGCACCTAAAAACAAGAGTTTACAAGCAATCTGAGTAATGAGTCTTAGTTTTAGAAAGAATTTTAAGACACTTGCAACACAGTTAGATCATACAAATGCTGACAATTAGAAGTGTTATTATAGAGTAACAAACACCAAAGAAAAAAATAGAGAGATAGTGACAATAGATGTTTGATTGGAAAGAAGGAGCAGATCACAACAGAGCGCACGTCAACCACCCAGTTAAGTTTAGCTTAAGTGAGAGTTTTACGGCACTTACAACACAATAAGGGCATATAAGTATTATAAGTGGCGAAGGAGCTAAACACCCACAGACAAGAGTTTATGGTATTCTGTATAGTCAGACTTAGATTTAGCAAGAGTTTCACGGCACTTGAGACACAGTAAAGTCATATAAGTGGAAGAAAGAAAAAAAAAGAGATGGAGGAGCGATAAAGACGATGGATATTTGATAGCAAAGAAGGAGTTGTGTACTCAAGATCAATGACGGGTCGTTAATATATTATGATTATCTTGATTACACGCCTTGTCTTTTTGTTTTTGATGGTTTTGTTACTATTGCTATTGTTGTTGTTGTTGCAGTTTAAAAAAAGTTTTAGTAAAGTTTTACGGCGCTCACAACTGCATAAGGTTATCTGAGCGCTAATGCGTGAATGTCAACAGAAAAGTCCAAACGAGGAATCAGGCTTACTCTGCTCAACTCTCTAGCCTCAACAGCACACAGTCTGCTTCGACGATCAAGGCACCCCGGAAATAGTTTACAAGAGAGTGAAAAACATACAAATGAAATAGAGGAAAATGACGACAGTAAGGCTAAGGAAAGAAAAAGCGGTTTTTTTCGGGGGGGGGGGGGTGTTTGCATTTGTTGTTGTTGTTGTTGTTGTTGTTGTTGTTGTTATGATTTTTGTTGTTGTCGTTGTTGCTTTATTTGTCGTGATTATTTTGTTTGTTTTGGTTTATAAGTGTTTTACGGCGCTTGCAACACAATTAGGTCATAAAATGGCAAAAATTAAAGGTGTTACACAAGAGTAACAAACACGAAGAAGTAGGGGCGATATAAGGACGATAGATGTTAGGCAGGAACGTAGGAGAGCAAACCACACCAGAATACCTGCCAATCACCTTCTTGTCGTGATTATTTATTTCAATGATTCGTTTCTGCTGCCTTTGTCCAACATTTAGCTTTGTTGACGTTTTATGTAACCAGAACTAATTAATTACCAAATTTGTAGTCTACATAATATGTGCTTTTAACATTGTTGTTGTTGATCTCGTCGTCGTTGCTGCTGCTTCTGGTGCTACTGCAGCTACTATTTCACATCATTTTTGTTGTTCTTGTTATTGTTGTTATTGTTGATAATGATGATGATGATGATGATGATGATGATGATGATGATGATGATGATGATAATGATGATGATGAAGAGGAGGAGGAGGAG